GTAACAGAGGTATTCACACTGACCAGCAATGTAACAGAGATACTCTCACTGACCAGCAGTGTAACGGAGGTATTCTCACTGTGCAGATGAACGTGCAAACTTTGCCGAACCCAGCCTGCCTGTTTATAGCACATTATTTGATTAGCTAAATCCATCCCCCTCTATTATTACCCCCAATCCTCCAGTGAGGAGACCACCTGTGACCCTCATGACACCTCTGCTCCCACTCTCTCCCACATCCCCTCTGTTCCCACTGTCCCCCACATCCCCTCCGCTCCCAATGTTCCCCATATGCCCTCTGCTCCCACTCTTCCTACATCTCCTCTGCTCCCACTGTCCCCCACTTACCCTCTGCTCCCACTCTTCCCCAAATCCCCTCTGGTTCCACTTTCCCCCACATCCCCTTTGCTCCCACTCTCCCTCATACCCCCTCTGGTTCCACTCTTCCTTATATCCCCTCTGCTCCTACTGTCCCCCACATCCCCTCTGCTCTGACTCTTGCCCATATCCCCTCTGCTCCCACATCTCCCCTCTGGCCACGCTGTCCCCAACATCCCCTCTGCTCCCACATCTTCCCTCTGGTCCCACTCTCTCCCACATCCCCCCGGTCCAACTCTCCCCTATATCCCCTCTGCTCCCACTCTCCCCCTCATCACCCCTCTGCTCCCACTCTCCCCCTCATCACCCCTCTGCTCCTTGTCTCCCCCACATCCCCTCTGCTCCCACTCTCCCACTCATCTCCCCTCTGCTTTCTGTCTCCCCCACATCCCCTTGGCTCTCACTCTCCCCCTCATCATCCCTCTGCTGTGTATGCATACAATTGTCCCTCTTGTGTTTCTCACCTTCTGGATGGCAGCCGGGGTGATCTCTCCCTTCTCCCACTGCCACAGGATACTTTTTTATTGTTTGCATCGTATCACAGACATTTCACACAATTGATTGTCCGCTTAAAGAAATGCTGACATTGTCAAAACTAAACCCAACTTTCAGGCAGTATTACCGGCTTTGTCTGCTCACAGTCAGATTGTAAAAGGGTTATGAATGATGATCCAATCTGTATTGCTGTACTAGACCACAAATGCATTGCTGTTGCTGTACATTAATAGTACACACAATCTCTCTTTGACTTTTTCCTCCCCAAATATCACAGACCTATCATTATGGCTCAATTATATGTAAATACCGCAATCCATCTCTATGTAAATCTAAGGGCCGGGCCTATTTTCAGTGGTGCTCCAAACACCCCTATATTAATCTGGCCCTGGCTCTACACCTTTAGTAAATAAACTCTAGTGACTTGGACTAAGAATGTATCAATTAAAGTCAAAGCGACTGAATCAGCAAGACAACCTGGAAAATGTTGGTTCCTGACTGCCATACTGATCCACTGGCTTCACAATTGACCTGGACCAAGTATGCAGATATTGCCATTTACTTTGCCTTTCTGACTTTGCTGATCTACATACCTATTTTGAGTCAGAGACTGAACCTATTAAAGCCAGAAGGTCAGCATGTGAATCAGGCATCTAGTATTTTCAGAAGGAGGTTAGCAATCTCAGCCCCCATATTTGTCTTATGATGATTTTATTTTAACACCTTTATTTCCACTATAAAATTTTTATCTGTGACGTTCACAAGTGAAATGTTGATTTATCTCACTCAGTTAACTGAAATGTATTGGTTGCTGTGCGTAAATAAATATTGATAATCCATAACTGATTGCTGTATTACCTTGTTAAATTGCGTCTGTGTGTTTTTTGCAGGTAGCCTGTAGTGGGTGGGGCCTACTAGACCCCTCCCACAGCTCTGCACAGGCTATGTGCAGCACAGCAATGATGTCACTGCTACTTTTTGGTGTGCATTTGGTGCACACAAAGTGGATTTCTATCCTTTGTGGCTACTGGGTAATATATTTCAATGTAAAATTTTTGTGCCTGGAGTTCAACTTACAGGGCATTAAACCTTTAGCTTACCTTCAGGGGCATAACTAGAAATCACAGGGCCCCATAGCAAAATTTTGTATAGGGTCCCGTGATTTCTAGTTATACCCCTTGCAGAGCCCACTCGAGATCCCACCTGAGGGTGACCCTGCAGAGCCCACCATAGAGTCTCTATGGTGGGCTCTGCAGGGTCACCCTCAGGCGGGCTGGTAACACTCCTTACCTCCTCCGTCGCCGGGCACGGCTCCTTCTTTGTCACCGAGGCCGCCTCCT